GTCCTACTTCATTTTTGATCTTCTGATCATATTTTTCTCCCCAGTTTCTTTAAAAAATTTTTTTGTTCATTCATTTTTATTTTATGTGTTTGAGTGTTTTTGCCTGCAGGTATTCAAGTGCAGTAAGTGTGCACAATGCCTACAGAGGCTAATGAGGGTATTGGATCCCAAGGAACTAGATTTACAGTAGTTGTTAACTGCCATGTAGATGCTGGGAACTGAATTTTGGTTCTCTAAAAGAGCAGTCAGTGCTGTTTTTTTTTTTTTTAAATTTGGTTTATTTTTATTTAATGTGTATGGGTTTATTGCTTGCATGTAGTAGGTGCACCTGTGTCGTGCAATGCCTATGGAGGTCAGAGAGGGTAACAGAGACCCTGGAACTGGAGTTACAAATGGTTGTTAGCAGCCATGTGGGTGCTGGAAATTGAACCTGGGTCCTTTGCAAGAGGAGTCAGTGCTCTCAATCACTGAACCATCTCTACAGCCCCCAGTCAGTGCTCTTAACTACTAGGCATCTCTCTAATTCTGCTTCCTTATTTTATAGAACTCACTGACTTCAAAGCATTTAGGCTCATTGATATGAATTCTTCAATGATCTTAGCCTTAGCTTTATCTCCTCTTCCCTGATATTCTTCCCTAACCATTATCTTATATATAAATATTTTATATTGAACTTTTAAAATTTCATAGAGCAGTTCTTAACCAAATTTAACCCCCTGCCCTGCATCCATACCTCCTTCATCTCTCCACTAGACCTCATATATTCAGCCATATATGTTAAGTCCTATCCATTCAGGCATTTGTACCCAGATGTCCTTCAGTGTATATTCATCCACTTGAGTCTAGTCAGCCCATCTAGAGATCGAATGTAAGGCCTACTCTCTCTTACCCAGCAGCAATCAGTCTCCAATAGTTCTCAGTCTAGTGTCGGCCCATCACCTATTTCTCTCCTCCCCTTTGGGCCCTTGTTTACCTTAACCATTTTTCATCAGGTATAAAATTAGTATGTACAAACATGTTGCCTCAACTTCCTAAAGAGACATAAATAATTTGTCATGTTATTAAAATATAAACATCGTATTTCTGAAGGGAGATTATCAGAAATACATGTTTCTTCTTTTAAGAGAGG